GGTTCGGCCGGGGCTCCCGCACCGTGGACCTGGAGCTGGAGACGCAGATTGAGCTGCTCCGGGAGACAAAGCGCAAGTACGAGTGTGTGCTGCAGCTGGCGCGGGCTTTCACCAACCACTTCTACAGCCTGGTGCAGACGCAGCACGCCCTGGGCGATGCCTTTGCGGACCTCAGCCAGAAGTCTCCTGAGCTGCAGGTATGCCCGCGGAGGAGGCGGTGCGCACCAAGCCTCGGCCTGCACTGCAGCCCTTCAGGAGCAGACTGAGAGACCCCCACCGGCCTCGGGCTCTGCAGCGCAGCTGGGGGCGGCTCTGCCCCACCGGTGTGTGAGGAGGAGCAGGAGGCAGCTGGGGATAACGGTGCTCAGCAAAGGCCGTGGGGCAGGGGAGAGCGTGAAGGGCCCCGTGCCAGCACCCCCTTGGGGCACCCTGGGCCAGGATCTGGGTGCATGGGAGGAGAGAGGGGGCCTTGCCGGTGCAGTGTGGACCCTGACTCCTCTTCCTCTCCCAGGAGGAGTTTGGTTACAACGCGGAGACGCAGAAACTGCTTTGCAAGAATGGAGAGACACTACTGGGAGCTGTCAACTTCTTTGTCTCCAGCATCAACACGCTGGTGAACAAGACCATGGAGGACACGCTCATGACGGTCAAGCAGTACGAGACAGCCAGGTAGAACGGCGGCGTGGGCCGGGGCTGGGCTCCTGATGGGTGTTGGGCGCCCCTGGGGGGCAGCTGCGGGGCTGCAGTGTCGCTCTGACGCCGGCCATCCCTGCGCAGGCTGGAGTATGATGCGTACCGCACAGACCTGGAGGAGCTGAGCATGGGCCCTCGGGATGCCAGCACCCTGTGCCGGCTGGACGCAGCCCAGAACCAGTTCCAGAGCCACAAGGACAAGTACGAAAAGCTGCGTGCTGATGTGGCCATCAAGCTCAAATTCTTGGAGGAGAACAAGGTGGGGAGGGCCGCGGGGCTGGGCAGGGCCTGCGGGGCGCGGAGCGGGGTCTGCTGCGCACTCCTCCTGTCCCTTGGCTGCGCTGCCTGGTGGCCACCTGCCCAGGACCTGCATTTGGGTGGGCAGCAGCTGTGAGGCAGCCAGGAGGGCCGGGGAGCGCCCGTCTCCGCC